GTGTGTGTGTGTGTGTGTGTGTGTGTGTGTGTGTGTGTGTGTGTGTGTGTGTATTTTTTTTAGACAGTCTCGTTCTGTCAGCCAGGCTAGAGTGCAGTGGCACGATCTTGGCTTACTGCAACCTCCGTCTCCCGGGCTCAAGTGATTCTCCTGCCTCAGCCTCCTGAGTAGCTGGGATAACAGGCGTGTGTCGCCACACCCAGCTAATTTTTGTATTTTTAGTAGAGACAGGGTTTCACTATATTGGCCGGGCTGGTCTCAAACTCCTGACTTCAGGTAATCTGGCTGCCTTGGCCTCCCAAAGTGTTGGAGTTACAGGCATGAGCCACTGTGCCCGGCCAAGGATATTTTATATTTTTATCTGGTATTTTTTAGATAGGTGTCTTAACAGTGAAAGGTAATTCAGGTTTTCTGGTTTACCATATTACCAGGAAAATAAATCCCTTTCTAGTTATTTTAATAAAGAAGATATAATCTTATACATTTTTTTCATTCTGTTGGGATATATAAAGTAAAATGCAAAACATTCTCTGTACTCTTGTCAATTTGTCAGTCCCATTATTCAAGTATACTTATATTTTTCAGCTTGGTATTTACATTTCCAGAAATAGTTCTGTATGTTAATTTATTAAATAATTTATTAAAATACAGAAATATTTATTACAATTTATTGTAATAAATTTATATTTTCACAGAAAGTCATTCGCTTTCATAATTTATTATAAATTTTCCTGATTAAGATACATTAGAAATCACAGATATTAAAATGAGAAAGTTAAATTTTCATGACAGCTTTATGAAAGTAGATGACTTTCTGTGAAAATATAAATTGCTTAAAGAAGGGAAAATTTTAGTACTATTTCATGTTTCAGAGCATATGAAACTAATAAAAGGTCTCACTTTTTGGTAGTCTAGTGTAACATTAATATAAAAAGTGGGAAAACATTAGAAATGAAAGCTGTGACTGCATTGACTAAGGTGTGAATGGGGAAATCTTAAATTCAGAATAGGTGGCGTTCAAACTTTATTGCATATTGAAGTAGGGCTCTTCCAGGAACATAAATATCTGTCAGTTTTAGGAATCCTCATAAGTGGATCAAATAAAAACATGATCATCTCAGTAGTCAGTCAGTAGTTACTGAAATACATTTGATAAAATTCAACAGTCATTTCTCATAATAGCGGTTTTATTTTTAGAATTCTTGTTAGAAAAATTGTGAGATAATTGTTTAAACATTTTTTTCCTCAATTCTTTTTCTAGCATTGCTATTGGAAATACTTAATAGTAGATGAAGGACACAGGATTAAGAATATGAAGTGCCGTCTAATCAGGGAGTTAAAACGATTCAATGCTGATAACAAACTTCTTTTGACTGGTACTCCCTTGCAAAACAATTTATCAGAACTTTGGTCATTGCTAAACTTTTTGTTGCCAGATGTATTTGATGACTTGAAAAGCTTTGAGTCTTGGTTTGACATCACCAGTCTTTCTGAAACTGCTGAAGATATTATTGCTAAAGAAAGAGAACAGAACGTATTGCATATGCTGCACCAGGTTTTCCATGTTTTCTTATTCTGTTTACTATAAGCTCTATAGAGTATAAAAGGAACTCTGGAGATCACCTGTCTAACCCTTTGTAGTAGAGATTTGAAAAACGAAAGTCTTCCTACATTTAAATGACTTCTTTGTCCTTTCTTCCCCGAGAGGTTACATGGTTTTATGACAAAACTCAAGTGCTTACTGAAGTTTGGTCCTTTTCAGATAGTGTACTCATTTTACCCCTAATGGTTACTGATATGTTTGTCAACCAAAAAACAAAAATGTGGTTTTTATGCAGTGTTTGCCAATAATACTTATAATTTACATCCTTGCGTGCCTGCTATTTTTATTGTTTCCTGTAGTTCCTACCCCATCCTACCTATCTTTAATTTAGAGAAACATCATCTTTCAAAGGTCATCTAGTCATGTAAGCCTGAAAAACTTTCAGTTGTGGTTTAGCAATTTTGTTCAAAGCCTTTATAGTTTTTTTCTGATATTAAAGATACTTGCTCATGAGAAAAATGTGAAGCAGTAGAGAAGTGAAAAGTAGAAATAGCACTTCCTCTTCAAATACTTCCTAGCAGTGTATATGGAATGATTATGTTGTGTTTTATGACAATCCAGACCCTTTTCTGTCTTTGTATAACACGTGTGTTTTTTCTGTATTTTATGAAGAAAAAGGTTTTAAAAATAAAATTGCACCTTAAGATAGTCTTTTGAACAATTATTAGGAAATTATTTTCCTTTTACTACTTGTAGATTTAAATCAGTGGTTTTTAATGGCTGCTTATTATCCCATTGTCCTGTTCTACTATAGTTAATTAGCTCTTCCTCTTTTCAAACTTTTCTACAATATAAACAAGATTAAAGTATATATACTTAAAACTACATTTTTGCCCATTTCTGCTATTTCCTTAGAAAAGACTTCTAAGATATATGTCAGAGTTTAGAGATGAGAGCTCTTTTGAAGGCAAATTGCCCTTCAGAAAGGATTTATATATAACATACATCCATATGAAAATACTACTCAAGCTTCATACCAATTTTAAGGTTAGAAGTCCTTTACAGTGTGTTGCAGAGATTAAAAAGGATGATTATTTCTGAATTGAGATGTTTGTTATACTCTTCTTGATATTTTAAAATGTAAAAGTTAAATTATTGACTGTAGTCAACCTTGTTGTGCGACCAAATACTAGGTCTTACTCATTATTTCTATTTTTTTGTACTC